TCAGGTGCCTTGGAGAATAGTTTGAGTCCCTCTTCTTTGTGGCAACCCCTGAGATCTTGGAAGACTGCTATCATGTCTCCCCCTAGTCCACCACCCTTCACAGCCCGCTGTGCAGGGGAGACGCTGAACCCTCAGCCTACCCCACAAGGCTGTTGTCAGGGAGGGAGAAGAAAGAAGAGAGATGGAGCTGTGGAAGGCTTCTTCGCCGCAAGGAAGGTCGGGGGAGGGGCGAGGAGAAGGAGGAGGCGGAGCCTCTGCTCCCCTCGCGCCTCGTCCACCCCGCCCCCCCCATCTCCCCTCCCGCAGCCATCTTCGCGCGCGCATGCCGGCCTGGCGGGCGCGCGCGCCGTCTCCCAGCGTGCAGCGCGCCGGGCGGGGAGGAGAGGGGCGGGGCGGCAGAGTCTGAGGCAGAGACTCTGAGGCGAAAAGGGGGAGCGGCCTGGAAGCGGCCGCCGGGCGGGACGGCGGGAGCTGTGGCTGAGGAGGCGGAGGCGGCCGCCGGGCATCATCCCTGAGGGCGCGTCTCCCTCGCCTTGGCCGCCCTTCCTTCTTGCCTTCCTTCCTTCCTTCCCTCAGCCCGTCCGTCCGTCCGTCCTTCGCCGCCTCACGGACACACGCGAGCGCACAGCTGCACCGGTGAGTGAGGGGAGAGAGGGAGCGTGTGAGGGGAAAACCGGGAGGGGGCGTGAGTGGGAGGCGGCTGCGCCTTATGGGTCCGGGAGAGAGAGAGAGAAGGGGGGGGAAGGGGCCCGGCACGTGCGATTGAGGTGCGGGAGGGGCTGCCCTTCTGGCGTGTGGGGTGAGGGGGGGGATTGAATGGAAAGGGGGCGAGGGGGGGCGCCGAGGGGAGGAGGGACGCCCCTCCCCGGAGGGTCCCTCCGCTTTCCCTCCAGGGAAATGAGGCCGGGAGGGGGACGGCGGAAATGCGGACCCTTGCCCGGGAGGCAGGGAGGGCGGTGGGTCCGTCCGCGCAGGCCCGGCTGTGCCTCGTCTCCCGCACCCCCCTTCCCCGCCGCACGGGGCTCCGACCCGACCCGAAGCGGGACGAACCCGGACCGCGTCCCCCTCCGGCGCTTGGGCAGACGGAGCGGAAGCGGTTGAGGTTTCTGCGGCGGCGGCAGCTCTCAGCTCTTCCTCTTCCCCGCGGAGACTTTCTGGTTCTTGGAAAGAGGCGGCCGGAGACGGTCGTTGCCTTGCGAAGGAAGAAGGAGAAATAAATAAGTAAAAAGCCCTGATTTGCCCTTGACATCCTCCGGGTTATATCCTCCAGGCGAGTGGGGATAAAGCAACGAGACCCGGGTTGAAACTTAGCCTTTGACTCCCTGCTTACCCGTCCCTTGGCTTCCAGCCCTGCAAACCCCCCCGTTTCCTGGTTCTGAACCCGGTTTCTCTCTGGTCCTGCTTGTTGTTTTCTTCGTTGCGCGGTGGGTTGTGTATTAATAGGACCGCTGGTGGTCACGGACTTACAGCCGTTTAGTGACCGTATGAAGTCACATCGGCAATGAAAAAAGTGACTTGTGGTGGTTTTTCACACTTAACGGCCTTTGCAGCATCCCCGTGGTCAAAATTCAGAGGCTTGGCAATGGGTTCATACTTACGACCGTTGTTGATGTGTCCCTGGAGTCATTATGATCCCCATTTGTGACCTGACAAGCAAAAGTCAGATTCACTTAACAATCAGGTGACTAACTTATCAACTGCAGTCCCTCCGGGAATAGGGCGGCATATAAATGAAATAAACCTATAACCTATAACTGCAGTGATTCGCTTAACAGCTCTGGGAAGAAAGATCCTACAATGGGGCAAAGCTCACTTAAATGCCTCACATAACAACAGAAATTTGGGCTCAATTGTGGTCTTGTCAAGGACTACCTGTGCTTTGTGGAAGGCATCCTTCCCTTCCCTGTTTGATTCCAAATACTGTGGCGCACAATACAGGTGGTCCTCGGCTTACCACCACAATTGAGCCCAACATCTATGATGCTAAGTGAGATATTTGTGAAGTGAGTTTTGCCCCATTTTATGATTTTTCTTGCCACGGTTGTTTAAGTGAATCATTGCAGTTGTTAACCTGGTTGGTAAGTGAATCTGGCTTCCTGATTGAGTTTGTTTGTCAGATGGTCTCAAAAGGGACGATGAGCTTGGGACATAGCAACGGTCATAAATATGAACCAATTGCTGAGCATCTGAATTTTGATCACATAATCAGGGGGATGCTGTAAAGGTCGTAGCTGTGAAAAATGACCATGTCACCTTTTTTCAGTGCTGTTGTAATTCTGAATGGTCGCTAAATGAACTGTTGTAAGTCAAGCATTACCTGTATTACCTGGACTACTTTGTGGAAAGTACTTTCTTTTCCTTCCCTGTTTTATTGCAAATGAACACAATATGCACATGATATAAACGCTGGGCACTTTTACAGTTGGCGTAAGATCTGAGTCCAGATAATGCTGTATAGTAAAAATGCTATCGGTTGTGATTTTGGAGTGCATTGTTGGTGATGAACATCTGTACTGCAAACTTTCCAATCCCCTTTCCCACCCTGAAACCCACATCTGGAAGTAGTTTAGATTTTCTTTCCCCTAACAACATCCTTAAACAATAACCAGTATATACATGGCATGATTAAATTTATAAACAGATTACTTAAACTCACAAAAGAAAGGAAGGTAATATTAATTTGCTCAGTCGTGTTGTCTGGCAAATCTCATTCTAGTTATGACGAAAGATGAATGATTGCTTCCTTGCCCTTATCCTCTTCCCTCTGGACTCAAGTCAGCTTATTCAGTTTGTCACAACTGCTTTCATTTTTGCTGAAGGCCTGATACTACAACTCTTGGCTTAAATCTTAATGGTGCTAGGTCTATATATAACTTAGCAAGATGACACTTGTTTCCATTGTGTACCTCTAACGTAGCTGTTTGTGTATTCAGGATCCTGTGATAGAAACCATTATCTGTGATTCTCCCTCTCTTTGCAATTCTTAGGACTTGTTTTGATGCAGCAGCTCCTCCATCTTTCTGAACATTCAAGGCAACCTCCACCTTTGCTGGGAGTTAACAGATGCCAACTACAATTTGATTTTAAAAACCCTAGCCATCATTTATACAAAGCAGACTGTCAGTGAATAAAGGTTAAGAGAGGACACAGATGTCCTCCATTCCCCAGAAGTGCTCCAAGTGCCAGACAGTATTAGGCATTTAATGAACTGAATGGGGAATTGGTGACCTATGCTACTTTCTGTGTTGATATGGGCAACAACTGCACCTGCTAAAATTCCCTTCTCTGCACCACAACTAATTAAGTATTTAAGAGCTTTTGTTCTTGATTGTACCTGGTTATCTTAGTCCAGTGGTGATGAAATCATGTCCTGTTTTCAAGGAAATGGCTTGGTATTAAGAGCTAGTTTTAATAATTTCAAACCAGAAGAGGCTAAATCTTCGTGTCTTCTAAGGAGACATTCAGTTTGCAGCCATTTTAATCATAAATGGTAATCCTTTTCTATTTTTGTTTTGATAGACAAGTTGGGGAATTTTCTGAATGTTGATGTAATCTAACAAAGAAATGCTTTGCACAGATTTTAAAATTATTTTAGCTAGATTAGCATATTTTAAACGTTAACCTAAATTTATACTGAATGCTGGCAGAGTTTACTGGTGAAGAACTATGAACTTGTAAGAAGCCAATTTGGATAATGATTTAACTTCCTAGAAAGGTATTGTTTGTACTGCGATATCCTGTGGTTATTTGAACATAGGATCTCTTGCCCTGTGTGTAATCAACTAGAGATTGGGTCAGTTTGTACATAACAGGAAGCCATGGATTCCTGCTCTGTGAGTGAGTTGTGGTTATACTGTAGCTCCTTCTTTCCTTTTCCTTCTGTTTTGCATGCCAGGGAAGGAAATGTGAAACTAACAATTTCAAATAAATCATGTTTCCTATAAAAACCAATGTGCAGAAATTACGGTTTGTTTAAACCAGTTTCAGAGTCTGCCTTGTTTACTGAATTTTATCCAGCCATGGAGCTCTGAGTTTTGGTATAACAGTTGCAACATGATGTTGGAAGCTGGAAAGCCATGTTTTCTTGACTTCTGATTCTTGGAAAGGAAGGTTGTGAGCCTGGGGTTTATTATGTCTGGATTGGATCATTGCAGTAAAACAGAATGACAGACTATCATGATTGGGCATTTACTTTTGAGCTTGTTGAAGAGAGGGATAGAATCAACCCGTAAGACCAAGGACTGTTTCCATATGCCACAGAAAGACAAGTTTCTAAAAGTAAGGATGTTTGAGCTGAGTCTGATAACTTCACACACAGATTCATGCATTTTCTTGTAGTAATTGTCATATCAACGTTGGAGATTTTTTTGAGGGAGGGGGTGCTCCTCCTAATCTAATCTGCAGCTTTGGTATTCCTGATGGTTTCCCATACAAGTATTAGTTTGGTCTAACTCTGCTTAACTTGCAAGGGAAGGCAAGTTGACCAGATGCACACAGAATCAGGAGAGAGAATACTTTAACATGACCTAGTGTGGCCCTCTCGGTCTCATAATTTGCACATCACATCTTATCTTTCTAGTGTGGTGGCTGAAGGGTGAGGGTTTTTCTAGTTTTGTCCATTTATAATAGCCCAGGTAGCCGAGGGCTTTCTTATATTATCATTTCTTTTGTACCCACCTAAATAACTCTCCCTTTCCCAGGTGATTGGGAAGATAAATCTATAGCTTTGCTTTTATCATTTGAAAGCTAATCTAAAACCATTGTGATATTTTATAAATGCTACTTTTTCTTCTCTTAATGAAAAGTATTTTATTATCAAATACCTGTGCAGAAGTTAATTGTATTTTTGCAGAAGCAATTACTGAATTGAATAACTTTGCCAGTGCATTTTAATAATCAAAGGCAACAGTTTTCAAGTCCTGTTGTCATTGCTCAGTCTGTCGTTCTTAGTAGGCTTACAAGACACAATCTATTAAGTCCAGTTCTGAATGCATGCAGTATTTGCTTCTTTTATCTTTCAGATGAGCAATTTTAATTTTCAGACATTCTGATTTCTTCAGTCTTCTCCTTTTCTACTTTTTTTTCTTTGTGGATGTTTCTTTTTGTTTAGTTTTCTAAAAAATACTCTTAGTATTTAATTTTTTTGTGCTCTTTTAGTCACTCAAGTGTGTTAGTTTTTCAGGAAAAACTCAAAAGAGGATTTATCCTCTTTTTGTATCAGAATAGAGTTTTTTAAATCCTTTCTCTTGAGCAAGGAATATCAGTCAGCATGAAACTTTAAGTTTGGTTTTTCATAAGTTTGCTCTTTAAATTTTCTCCCATAGTTCCCTTTTTTGTATAAGAGTGTGCATGGAAAGTGCTAGAACCTCTATATGAATATATCTTTCCTTCCATCCATCCATGCGGTATAAAGATATTGTCTTGGCAACACTATAAAAAGAAGATTAAGAGGCATAGATAGGAGCACTTCCTATTCCTAGCTTGGTACCAAAAACTTTCTTTGTTTTTTTGGTGGAAGGGGAAAGAAGAGCCTGCCTAATACTGAGTACCTTTGCTTCAGTTATAAAGCTGGAAAAACTGGAATGAATTGATTGAAACTTGTCCAGAGACAATGAAACAAGTTACATTTGTTTGTGGTCTAGTGGATAAAAAAGATTCCCCAAACAAATTAAAAAGTTTTCTAATGCCAAACTGCTTTTAAGTAGAAACAGATTCCAAAAATTCCTCTTTTTCCTAACTTTGAGATACTGCTGATTTTTTCTTTTTTGGAGGGGGGGGGGAGTTGACAAGTTACCCTTGCTTTTGTATTCTGTTTTTGTAGTAAACATTTTCCTCTAGTTTTAACATACTGTGAATTGTAGACTGTAGAAATGATACTGTTCAGGTAGTCCTCAAGATTACAATTGAGCCCTACATTTATGTTGCTAAATGAGGCAGTTAAGTGAATTTTGCCCCGTTTTACAATTTTTCTTGCCACAGTTGTTAAATGAATCACTGCACTTATTCAGTTAGGAACACGTTTGTTAGCTAAATCTGGCTTCCTTATTTACTTTGCCAGACAGAAGCTCGCAAAAGGGCATCGCATGACTCCGGGACACCGCAACCGTCATAAATACGAGCTGGTTGCTGAGTGCCTGAATTTTGACCATGAGGATGCTATAAGGATCAAAAGTGTGAAAAACAGTTATGTGACTTTTTGCAGTGCCGTTGTTACTTTGAACAGTCACTAAATGAGCTGTTGTATGTGGGGAACTACCTGTAAATGACACTGTAGCTGGCAAGGATGTGAATATGAAAAGGGAAGCACAGGGAATGCCGTGCATGGTTTTTTTCTTTAAGTGGCTTTGTATTTTTCTTTATGTCTTTGCTTCTAATGTCAGCAAATTGGTTAGTCAGTGATAATTGATGATATATAACAAAAATACCAATGTTGGAAATTATAGATTTATTTCCAGTTTCTGTATAATTTCAGAGAATCTCTGACATTATATTAAAGAGGTGTTTCTGTTTTCCATAGTTTCAGCTGCTTAGAATCAGATTTTTTGGGTTTTTTTGGGTGTGTGTGTGTCCATATTGAATTCTACCTTAAATTTAATCACAGATGGGATGTAAATTAAGGCCAGGTAAATAGAAAATACTAGGACTTCAGATACATTTGCAGTGACTTCAGATACCTTTGAAAATGCAAATAATGCAATACAGCTGTGTGATCCCAAGGAGATGGACACTTGCCTTAAGGTGGTGCAGGCAGGTGCTACTTTCATGCCTCTCTCTGCAATCAAAGCATTTTTTGCATTTACTTGGTAATTCTAATTCCAGGGCCCCTGAAATTAAGTAGAAAAACATAACTGATTGAATAGCTGTTTGTAAAAAATGCCATAATACTGAACTCACCAATTGGGGTCTTTATTTCTATTTTTCTAAATGCATTATACAAAAAGTAACAGGGCTGTTAATTTATTTTCTAGCCTATAAATACTTCATTCAGCATAATAAATTGAGACAGTATATCTCTTGTATTTTTTTCTGTATGGCATATTGTATTTCTCTTCGTGGAGAACGCCTGAAAAGTTCCCATTCTTTCCAGCTTGCATTACAAAACTGGATTTTAGAAGTATTCAACAATGGGGAGCTAGGACAAACCTCTTTCAGGATTATATGGTAGGTGCTATATGTTTTTATTGTTTAATTTGTTTTTTTTTATTATTTGGGTTATTTAGTTAAGGTTTGAATAGTATTTATTAGGAAAAGTTAGCCATGAGTGAAATCTGATTCCCCACCTTAGCTTTATTATTTAATTATATATAGCTAAAATTAGATTTTCTTTGTGTGGTTTCACCTTTGGAATGCTTCCAATATCTATAGCCAGCTATTTTTTTTAAATAGATTGTACACTACTAAAAGTAGCTTGTTTGAAAAGATGTTATGAAGTCTCGGTGACCGGAGGATTACTTCATTCAAAATGTAAATGTCAGTTTTCCTGTTTAGTTACTACAAAAACATACAATTCTTCGTAAGGCCCAAAGAAAGAAATGAAATACGGAAACAAGGCTTCTTTAGAAAAAGGTATCTGCATGCTGAGTTCAGAATTGTGTCTTCTCTGCTGGAGGAGAGCCTTGTCATCTGCAAGTCACTATGAAGAAGTTGCACAATTTGTGTTCAAGCTTAAAGCTCTCTTTGATATGATACGTTGTTTTCAGAGCAAGTCTTTTCTGAAAAAAAAAATCAACGTGATGGTTTTCAAGAAAGCATGTTGGTGATCTTATGGAAAATGGTTTAAATCCTCATGAAATGTGTAAATCATTTATTATATTTATATGGCTGCAGGGTGGTTAAAATCAATGATTTTTTTAAAAAAATAAAATTTAAATCATTTTTTAATTTTTATGAAATTTATTTTAATAAAATGCATTTGGAGTAAAATCTATCTAGTTTTCTATTTAAGATATGTTGATAATTTAGTTTAGAATTCAGAATGAAATGGAGCTAAGTTGTCCAGACAAAAACAGCACGTCACATTTGGGGTAACTCAAAGGCACACAATTATCACCAAGTTGGGTTCACACATCGCCAGGCCCCACTGGCCAAGCGAAGAAGTTTGCAAGACTTGTGACAGTTTGGCAGGATTCAAATATTAAGAGATATTTGTTCCATAATAGAAAAGGCATGCTTTCCGAGTCCTGTTGAATATTATTGTTTGATAGAAATGAACCGGAGCAGAACAAACAGAGTAACTTGGAGACAAAGAGTTTTGCAAATAACC